AAGTGTTTTCTTCTTATTATCCTTTTTCTTACCAACTCTGGCCTAACTTAGACCGCATTTCTTCTCTTCTCTGTGATCATTATTGGTTGCAAAATGCATAACTAGATGAGGAATCACAAGTCATTTGGAAAACCGTAAGGGCTGAATTCACAAAGTATAAAATTTTGGCTTATTTCAGATTTAAATATAGAGTGAACAATGAGATTTCTGGAAAGCACCCTGGAACACCTAGTTTAAAGGCTGCCAAGAGTCAATTAGTAAACCATAATTTACAAGGCATTGGAGCATAAAATTCAACCCTAGTCAAGTGAAATAAAATGAGCGATCTCTCTCCTGAGGACACTTACTCCCTCAGGATGGTGGGGGATCACAGCCTTCTCATAAAATTTATGGCACAATGACGTTATAAAGAATCACCTCCTTAATTAACCTCTGATGTGATTAAATATATATGCTTTAAAGGTTATACAGTTTTCTACCTGCCACAAAGAGAACTGGCCCTTACTCACACATACACATACAACGTGTGGAATGAAGCAAACAAAGCTGCAAAAGGGAATGAGAAGTGAATATGAAATTATTGCTGGAATTAGTGGTTAATTTACCAAAAAGAAAATGAAAATGAAATATGAAATATTCAGCTACTAAAAACAAGTCTGTTGTCATAAAGTAGAAAAAACAACTGAACAGAAATACTTATTTTCTTTTCTAATGTGTGCTTCTCACCTCAGAATTTAATCTTATATTCTTTCACTTACAGTTTGTCATTCACAGGAAACTACTGAGTGAGATGCGAATGCTTCCATGTAGCCTTTCGATTTTATACTATTTATAAAATTGCATGAGAGCCCTGAAAAATTCATGCACATTAATAATCATATTTTTAACTCTTTACCCCTTTGATTCATTATATCAGAAAATCAAGTTATAAAAATAGATGAGAATGATTCATGATGAGAAATGCAAATACCAGGGTGAAACAGAGAAACTAACTTGGGATTTCTGATTTCCAGAAATGTAAGGTTATAAAGTTGTGCTCCGTTAAATCACTATGATTTTGGCGGGTTACAGCAGCAGTAGGGGAGTAGTGTAGGGTGAAAGTCAACGAAGGCAAGAGAAGAAGCAAGTCAAATCAGTGAAGTAACATCAGATGCAAGGCCAGATTTCAAAAGGAGGAATCTAGAGAGAGAAAAAGTTACAGACAATGTGAAACAAAAGAAATAGGGTCCAGATAAATAAAGAAATATATTACGTATATGAACTAAAAAAGAAATTTTAATATTTCAGTTCCTGTCAAATTTTATATGTTTACTATAATCCTGACAAAGATTTCAAAAAATACTTAATTGATAAAATGCACCTAAAATGCTCTATAAATTATAAAGGCTTTAAAGTAGTTAACATAATCTTAAAAAATGTTTATACTTTCAGATCTTTAGATTTATTGTAAAAGCATAATAGATGAGACAAAAGTATTAAAATGGTGATGAGAATAAAATACAGCATAAAAATAACATGATTACATGATTTTTAAGTCTTCAAAGTATTTTGGTGAATAAATGACAGTCTTTTCAATAAAGTACGATAGAGAAACTAAACATTTTTATTGGAAAGAACAGAAATATTGTCTCCATTTCTTAAAACATTCAAAATCAGTCCCCCAAATTTGACAACCAATACCACAATGCTTTTATAAAATTAGAAATATATTAATATAATAGGGAAATGCTAAGACTTTCATGTCTTTGTGAGGTAGTGGTTTTGCTTGAGCATGGACCAGACTACTAACACTGATGAAAACTTCCAATACTATGAGGAAAAACAAACTTCTCTCTCTTTCCTTCAGTTCTTTCTTTCTTAATGTATTGCAATTTTAGAATTAAATTTATGATCTACTTCAGCTATGTTTTTGTCACCAATCTGACAGGGGTTAAATTTTGCACACCAGTGATACCATCATAATTGCTTATAAAGCAATCTTTCCCAAATAATTATGTTAAGGTTTCAGTATATTTTGGGGAGCTGAAAAATCAATTTCCCTACGGCCTACTGTAGCATGTATGACTCATTCCACATATCCGCGGTTCTTCTACATGGGCTTTATCTCACATCAGAAGGAAAAACACCCTTACACTGAAGAGTTATGAAATGCCACAAGAGTCCCATAGTGTTTCCTTCTCCATGAAAAATGATTTATTATGAAAATCATCCGCATGTTTTCATAGTTTAAAGGCACACACACCATAGTGAATTTCTGTTTAACATTATAGGCTTAGCATTTATATCCTTTGTGAAGGAAAAGACTGCTTCAAGCTAATTTGCATAGTATTATTTAAAATTTAATTTTTTCATACTTAGACATATTTAGGTTGAACTTTACTTATGCACTTTGTTTTTTATAAATGTGCTAAATTGTTGTATTAATCCTCTTATTGGCTTGTAATAAACACACATTTTTCTCCATAACTCATCCACCCACTTGTGAACTACGTAGATTTCACATTTACAAATTTAAATGTGTTCTTCTTAAATTACTTCAATGATTACATTAGCGCTTTTCCTTTAGATTTTATTGTAAAAATATCACTTTCAAAAAGCACTCATAAAAATTGACAATAGAAAAAACTTAAATAATAAAATGAAAATATAAAAATATTAATTTATAGTTTAATTTTGTTTGTAAGAATTATAGTTTACAAATTTTGTTAAACACTTTATTGTAATAGGCTGCTGATTGTTTAAATGTTAGGAACATCTCTGAAACAATTTAACAGATTAGTCAAGTTACTAACAATTTAGCAGATTATTTACTGTTAATTTGGAGGAGAATAGGCACATGTTTGATTCTGTATTGGTCATTACTTTTGGTTACTAAAACGTATTCTTAAAGTGATGTGATACATATAATAATGAATATCATTGATTATATAATGTGCTCTGCTATAAGTATATTTTTATATGTAGCAAATGATACCTTATTTTGACAAGGTATAATGTAAATACTAGGGAGATAGATTAATTAAATCGAAAGATTAACATTAATTATGTAGTGAACTTTAAAAAATGTTTTAAATAGTAATGAATATTAACATTAAAGAAATTGAAGTATTTTACTATGTACAAAAAGAATATAAATATAAAAATAGTGCTTAAAATGCAATATGAAGAACACAGTTACTTATGGAAAATAATATAGGTGTTTCTCAAAAGTCATAAATAGAATTACCATATGATCTTATGATTCTATTTCTGAGTATACATCCAAGGGAATTAAAATTGAGCACTTGAATAGTGTTTTCTCTTTCATGTTCATTATAATTATAGCTTCATTCATATTAGCTAAGATGAAAGCAATGTTAATTACCATTAATAGAAAAATGGATAAAGAAAATGTGTGTTATGTTTTATATCTAAAATGTTCACCCAAACTCATGTATGTATGGAGGATACTTGCCTCATAGGTGCATTATATTCAGTGATAAATTCACCTGCTAATCAATTCAGTACTTCAGTGTGCTATTAGGAATTATCCTTGGCTTGGATATGAGTTAATGGGGAGTGACCCTGCATGGCCTATTCTTCCTAGATCTCCTCTTTTTTCCCTCTCTGCTTTCTGACCACCATGAGCTGCCCTCATTTTCCTTCCTCCATACCTACCTGCCATCCTTTTGCATTGCAGACAGACAAACATGCTGAAATTGTGAGCCAAAATAAATTTTACTTCCTTAAAATTGTGTACATTGGGATATTTTTGTCACAGAGATAGGAAAATAATTAAGATACATTTTTGGAATCACCAATGAACCTTTGTTGTGACTGTGTCTGACTGTGTACACTGTAAGCCTTTGAGTTCTTTATTTGAGCCAGCCAGAGAAACCATAGGGTGTTATAAGCTTAACCTGATGAGAGATTCTGTTAAAGACCAGAATACTAGAATGCTAATAGAAATGCAAGCAGTAAAGGTCAAGGTTAAGAAGTTTCACTGGGAAATAAAGACTCCACTGGCCTTGTACTAGAAATTATGCGTGTTATACTCTTGCAGAAAGTTTGTCTTCTTTTTGTCTATGTCTTGAGACATTATGGAAGACTGAGTTGAAAAAGGTGCATTAATTTATCTGTAGAAGAAAACTTCAAGGTAAACCAACCCTCTGATTGTGGCATAGTTACTGCTAACAACTTTAGCCAGATTCATAGCGAGAATCTAAAGCAAACGCCGCACAGAATAATCTAAAAATTCTTATGTTGATCAGAAAGGAAGGCTCTAGAAAGCTATATTAGAGAATTTCTTGGTTGTTTAAAACATGAGCAAAAAAAAAATTGCTTTGTGTCAAAACAATAGAAAAGATAACGAGACCATTTCAGAAATCATCAAAATTTTTCTCATGGAAGGCTTGAAAGTATGAAACTATAAAGCTTTCACTTAGAAGAGTTTCTCTAGTCTCCATATGTGAAAAGAACAGTTTAGAGCATTGTTTTCTGGGACTACTTGACAGGGCTCAGCCATTCAGGCGCTCAGAGGCCTTTGCAGCCATGATGCAAGGAGGTATACCTATTACTTGAACTGGTTACATATTTTGGTATCATCAAAATGATTCTGCTTTCATGGAGTTGTTGAAAGCATGACTTATAGGATCATAGAGACTTCCAACCAGATTACAGGTGCCTGGGAGGCCAGGTTGTATGTTCCTGCAAGTACAGTGGTTGAAGTTATGACAGTTAATTTGAAAATGCAGTAAGTTGAAGATGCATAGAATATGGATCACATCAAGAAGTGTAAAGAAATGCTGCAGCCGAAGACTTTTGGAACACAAATCTTGTCACTATTGCCCTTGAATGCTGGAAAGGAAGCTACAGGATTTAATATTTGTTCTCCTATGTGTCAGTCTCATTTTAGTCTAATTTCTTTCTATTCCCCACGTTTCTGTCTTTTGAAATGGAGACATTTATTCACTGCCAATATTTGTTTGATGTGTTTAACTTTATTTTTACATTTTTAACAGGACTCAAAGAAAAAAGTTTGTCTTGAATCTCAGAGGAAAATTCGGACTTTAATTTTTCAGCAATATCAGAACAGGTAAAATTTTGGCAACTTATATAGATGCACTAAATGCATTTTTCAAACAAGGTAGTTAGAAACCTTTTGGAATGTTTTGGTTTAGATCTAAAGTCTGCCCCTGCATTCACATGGATTTGGAAGGTAATTGGACTATGGAGGGATTACACTTTTCAGTGGATTCAGCAACTAATGTGTTTAGTAGCTGAAATTGCTACTTTTATTAGAGTTTACTACTTTAGCCCAGACAATAGAGCTGTCGTGATCAATTGATCTTCCTGGTATGTTGTTCCATATATCCTATGGACTGTAAACAAAAGTACAGCCCAGGATCAAAGCACTAAGTAATAGGCCAAACAGGCCACAATGTTCATCATTAATGAAGAGTTAGGATCCTGGGACAGACTGAAAGGTGCAAGGGCAGATATACCTAGAAAATGTTTCTGCAGAGTAGTCATTACCTAAAGAGGTCTCCATGCTAGTAATAAAACTACCTGATATAAGCAATTTACAAACAAACAAAAACAAAAAAATATGAAAGCAGCAAAATAAAGTCCAATCCAAAATGTCCAATTTAGCCATAACATGTCCAGAGGTCAGTGAGGTTAGAAGAAATTAGAAGCCATACAGCAGAAATTTCTGAAATGGTAGTACTGAAAATAATAAATCAATAAATACCTAGAGAAAACCAAACAGAAATAATTACATAGATATCCAAAGAGATGATGACTATAATGAAACAAATGTTTAGTGACTTGACAGTGGCTATAGATTTAAAAAAAAAAAAAACACACAGAGGTAAGTTGGAAAGTCATGATAAGCCAGCCATGGTAGTTCATGCTTGTAAACCTAGCACTAGGGAGGCTGAGGATGGAAGACCACTGTGAGTTTGCATTTCAGAAGTGAGTTGAATGCCACTCTGCACTATATAGCAAGACCTTACCTCTAAAAAACCCCAATAAATTATAAAGTCATTGAAATCACAAATGCCTAAATCACAAAAGAACTCATTCCAGAAAACATATTCAGGCCGATATCAGGAAATGAAAAGTATACACAACAGAAGTAACCAAAATGAACACAGAACATCACATCTAGAAGACAGGTTTTCTGTTAGTGATATCAAATGAATGCATTCTTACAGATAGCAGGGCCACACAAATTGTGGTGGTGCACACCTGTAATCCCACCATTCAGGAGGTAAAGCAGGAGGATCACAATGAGTTCAAGGTCAGGCTGGGATACATAGTGAGTTCAAGGCCAGTCTAAACTACAAAGCAAGGTTCTGTCTCAAACATGTTACAAAACAAAACAAACAACCAAAAAGCAAAGGGACGTGTTACCCATTAGCTGCTGTACAATGCAAAGAGTAAGATTAATTGTAATCAATGAAAAAGCAGAAGGTAGCACAAATAGAATGCATGTTAAACATTCTGGAATGGAATTCATGTTAAATATTCTGACTATGAAACAAACCAAGAATACCATTAAAACTGATAGCAATAGAAGAAATATTTGGGATTGACGGCTGTGTTTATTACTTAGTGGTGACAACAACATGAATATCATGTTTATTGTATGAAGTTTCACATACATCAATAAAAATGAAATAGGATGATACTGAACTTAAAAAATGAATGTAAAAGATTGAAAGGACAAAAACTTTAAACATCATCATGAAATTTGGATTTTTATTTTATCTTTAAATTAACGTATAAGCTATAAAAATGAATCAAATGAAAATATGTTGAAGATAGTATTGCAAAATATAAATTTAGAGATAAATGTAATGTAAATTGGGTGATAAAAAATCACTATAATTGACTTAATTTCTCTCATTGCTGAGACAAAATGACTGATGTCCAAAATGAGGGAAGGAAATATTTATTTAACTTATAGTTTTTGGAGATTTCAGTCTATATTTGGGTGGCTCTAAGGCTGCGTGGTGTGGCTAAGGGACAGTCAGTAATGGTGTCCACAGGTGATAAGAACTAAAGGCCAAAATGGAAAAAGCATGCTTCCTTCACTCCCTTATATTGCATGCAGATTACCCATCCCTGGGTTGCTGTAGCACCGATCCAAATGCCAGGCATGAACCAATCACAAATGCTAGACTCAGCAACCCAAGAACAGCCCACCTTCCATGACTACACGAGGCTTTGGAGGGATATTAAACAAAACACAACATTCCAGCCCTGGCTCCCAAATGCTCATGTATATCCATTATGCAAAAGAAATTTAATCCATTTCCAAGAGTTGTCAAAGTCTTAACAGTTTCAGCATTGTTAAAAAGTTCAAGTTCCAAGTCTTCACCAAGATCTAAGGCAAACTCTGCTGTAACCCCTGTTAAATGAAAACAAAGTTAAATGCTTCCAGCATTCAAAGGGACAAGGTAAATAATACCATTCCAAAGGGTGCAAACAGAGGGATACAAAAGAAGGGAACCAAAGAAATTCCAAAATCCAGCAGATAAAACATGAAGTCCTGGAGTTCCCTGCTCACTGTCTGAAGCAATCTGGTTGTGAGTTCCAAAAAGCTTGAATGAATGCACCCCGATGGCACTTATGGTAGTTGTAGCTCCCATGCCTTCTCTCTTAGGCCTGCTTTGCTTAGTCCTTGTAACTTTCCTTCGTTGATCCACATTCCTAGATGTTTTCCAAACTTCTGGGGTTTCCACTAACCCTTTGGCTTCACACTCACAGCTTCACACACTGCCCTCTCATTGGCACACTACCTGGCCTCTCAGGTCTTCTGAAATTGGGGTGAAAGCAGCCTTAATTTCAGAACTCTGGCACTGTGCATGTACCTGCAACCACTGCCACGTGGAGATACCAAGTTTCACTGACAGATGGAGCACTAGCCAGGCATACCTTTGTCTTGGCTTAGGGGTTGAGAGCCTGGATCACTGAGCACTCAGAATCTGATTGTGAGGAACAGATTTCCTATGCCACCACCATTTTGGAATCTCCTGTGGCCTTGGCTGGAACATATTGTTGTGTGGCTTTCTCCTCAAACCAGTCTTTCACTTTTGAAGTTTGAGGTTACAAATCATGTGGACCCTCTGCTTTCCATGATGCTCTCGTGTCATCTTTTTATTTCTGTGTTCTATCTCAGCAATCGAGATGTCAAATCTATCTTTATAGTCCACAGTTTTACTGGAACTTCCTTTCTTGTAAAACTTACATTTTAAATCATCCTGATGGACTCTTTGTTCTTGATTTGCAACATAAATCTGGCTGAAAATGCCCAACAATAGCCATGCCACCACCTCAACATCTGACTGCCTTGAATATTTTTCTGCCTGATAAATTAAGCCACCATCCTTAATCTCAGTCTCAAGCAATGTCTTTGGACATGAGCAAAATGAAGATGAGCTTTTTGCCAGGCCATAATTCACATCAGCTGGAGGTCAACAACCAGTGTAGTTCTGCTTTCTGGCAGAAACCTCCCCAGCCTGAACTTAACTGGTTTTACAGTCTTCTGAGCTCTGACCAGAATCTCATATACAGAACAGCCTAAGTTGTTCCAGCTCTAGTCCTTCAGGCAACATCTCCAAATCTTTACAAACTATTCCCAGGAGCCATTCCCAAAGGCTATTGAACCACACGGTCAATTACAGTCACAGAAACAACCCCTTTCCACTGGTACCAAATTATGTCTTGCTTAATTTTCTGTAATTGCTGAGACAAAATAGGGAAAGAAAGATTTATTTAGCTTACAGTTTTTGAAGGTTTTAGTCCATAATTTGGCTAGCTCTAAGGCAGGATGGCATGGCTAAGGGGTGCCATTCATGGTAGCCACAAGTGGCAGGAGCTAAAGGGTAAAAGAGTAAAATCACTTCTCCTTTCCTTTCTTATATTGTATGCATGTTACCTGCTCTTGGTTGAGTGTAGCACTCACATCATGAACCCCAAGCTCTAGACAATTAGCCAATCACAAATGCTAGACTCAAATACCTAGAAAGGCCTACCTTCTCAGACCATGTGAGGGGTACGGGAGAAATTTTTAAAATTGCATCAATAATACAAAAGAAAATAAAAACAATAAGGCTAGAAAGCATATTGGGATTAGAAGCAAATATTTTTTAAAAATTATATCAGAATTAATCTATTTAATGAATAATCAATATGAAGTCAACTTCCAAAAGTTTAGGAGAACTTGCAGATTCTCATTTGTTTTAGTTACTTCTTTCCTTGCTGAGACAAAATACTCAATACCCAAATTTGAAGGGGGAAAGGTTTATCGTGGTTCACAGTCCATAGTTGGCTGGTTCCAAGGCAGCTTGGCAGAGGGGCATCGCAGAGAAGTAATAGTTCATGGCAGGCAAAAGGCAGCAAAAGCAGCAAGTAACATTAGAATATTCTTTCTTTCTCTTTGTGTTCTCTCTGGGCCACCCCACATCCACCAGTAGAGTGGCTAGCACTCATACCTCGAACCATGCCAAACCATCACACACCCTAAATTCGAGTATCACACACTCCACATCCAGCTATGAAAGCCCCACCTAGGACCACATGAAGCTTTGGGGAACATCTACACACAAGACAAAGCATCATTGTTCTTGTATATTTAAACATGGCAATTCCAGAACTCAAGTTCCTCATTCCTTCTCTATCATTAGTCCATGTAATATGTCTGTCAGAGTCATTCTCACTGAAATTATATCTACACACTTCATAGGACCACTGGAAGGTTCTCAGCTGGGACAAGTAATCCTGAAGAAAAACTTGCTCTTCTCAAGATGTCCCATGTATTCTGTCACTTTTCCTAGACTACTAGTTGGCAAAATTGCTGTAAATGACCACATTCTTATGGTTTTAAACAGTGTTAACTTCATTTTCCCTTCATAATGATGTAATTATGTCATTGCAACTTAAAATAACCATAAACAAGATGTAAGTGAATAATCAGGATAGATGCAGAAAACAGATGTAGCAACTGGGAGAATATGTCCAAGGAAAGTTGCTAAGTATCTTAGCCAGGAGGTTGGGTGCAATACTACACTGTAAAGTGTAACATTT